TTGTCTCTACAGGCTTGAGAATGTAGGCTTTTACATTACTCCACACCTGTACCTTAGTGTATGCCCATATATTTATAACAACCTAGCTGGATACAAGTCACCTCCTCTCCCCTCGATGGGGTGATTGCTAATGAACCCTATCACACTGCTATTTAGGGTCTTAACAACATATACCATCCATATGGAGACACTGTATTGGCTGTCATGGATGAATAGAAGCATAGGAATGTTCATGTACCTGGTATACTGCTGCTGGTTGCCTGGACACACAATATGGTTCCTTAGTTTGGGTTACCTGAGGTTAATTGGTCACCTCCTGCGAAATAATAGGATTCTGAATGGAGACAATCTGGGGTTGGTTTTCTAGGGGAGGTGTTTGGGGAAGTGCTTAATACCCTTTGTTTAGACCTCTGATTTTACAATGCTTACAACACAATACAACATTCAGTCCAATCTCTATCCATAGAGGTACAGTTAACACCTAATCACCTCCATACATTAACCTGGTGAGCATTTGTCCTGCCTCGGTTACTTCCATTACTAATTTTTATCAAGTATGAATCTTTATACTCATATTAACTAGCTTAAATTTAAATTAAGAAGGGCAATATGAAGCTGCAACATTGGTGTTTTCTGTCGGACTAGATCCTCATATTCTGGTTTAGCAGTGAAAACTGTTTCATTTTTAAAATCAGGTACTGGGGAAACTGCCATATGCCCAATTAATATATGCACCTTTGGATAAAAACAGAATTTTTGGGGGTTTGGCTACACTACCACACAGGGTCAATCTAAGATATGCAACTTCAGCTACGTGAATAGTATAGCTGAAGTCGACATACTTAGATCTACTTACTGTGGTGTCTTTGCTGTGGTAACTTGACAGCTGACGCTCTCCTGTTGACTCCGCTTGCGCTTCTCGTTCTGGTGGAGTACCGCAGTCGACAGGAGAGCGCTCAGCGGTTGATTTATCGTGTCAACCCCAGCTGGATCGGTCGCTGCCCGCCGATTTGGCGGATAGTGTAGACGAGCCCTTAGTCATGACCTTGCACTCTGACCAGGATAATATTTTTGATGGTTGGTCACTACACAATATTGGCCATCTCCACCAGAGGTCACCCTTTCTGTGGCAGCTTGGTCATCTTAACAGGGGATGACGATGCTGATGATTGGTTCCATAGTTGGTACCCTTCCTTCTGGCCACACAGCAGCATGTCTGCCACAAACACATTATATCTGCAGATGTACTGATGCCTTTTGTCAGAGCAACAGGCAATTCATGGAACTTTCTAGGTTTGGGTGCCTTGATGATAGACCACCAGAGGAGGTACATTTATTTGTTCCTCGTAGATGTTGCCTTCTAGGTGACCTTTTGAGTCCTTACCTACCACTTGTCTTAAAAATAAAAAATCCTCATCTGGATCAAACACAGGCATCGAGACTGTAAAGGAGACAAAAGGATTTTGATGTGATGCAATTTTTTTGTTAAATAACACAAGTCGATTAGAATGCTGTATCATAGTATTACCATATTTCTGATTTACCCCAATGACAATTTTTGACAAGAATTTAAACAATTAGCTTTTCTCCCTGTGGTTTTAAAAACATTTTGCACAATACCAGTTTAGCAGCTGCTCATCTTTGGCTAAATCTGTGACCTTTCCTAGTTCCAAGAACTGCAATGCGCTGCTGATGGTATTAATACATATTCACTGTATGCTGAACAAATAATTTCCTTTCCCATATACTGATACCTTTCCTTATCATTATTGTTTAATTGACCGATTAATTTTAATTTGAGTTTCATTAAACAGTCTATCTTTTTCACGAATATTATCTGCTACAGATCTTTCCTTGTTTGATTAATCTTTTATCCCTTGCAGCACTGGATTGACACCCTGTCCCTGTAATACATAATGTGTGTCCTAACTTTTTTAACATCCACCTGATTCCAAATTGACATTCCATTTCCAAATAACCCTGACACAGTTTTTATGATCCCCAAAGGATCAGTTCCCCTTTTTTCCCCAAGGGATACATAACGTATGCTTGGCATGGATTTCCAAATTTGTAATATCCTGCACCCATTGTTGATAAGCAGTGACCTTATCCACAAGGAGTAATGAAAGGAAAGAGGACACTTTGGAGTCTTTCCAATAACTGAATTTACCCACGTGCCACTTAACAGATTTAACACAACAGGAACATACATAAATTGAACCTGATTGGTTAATACCTCTGCTATAGGTGTAGCTACCTTCCCTCCTCCCCCCCCCCCACAGAGTTATTGATCCGGGGAAATATCTATTTCCACTTTACCTAAGGTGACATATTTACATCCACTAGCTCATAGCTAAGGGTCATACTTTTGCCTATTAGGCCCGTTACAATTTGATAGGACTTGCTAGGAGTAAGCTCCGTTGATTGGCTACTGGAGTAGGGGAAATGATTTGACCAGGACCCCCTTCAGTTACATATCTTTCTTGTACATGAATTGACACTTTGTGTAAGGCTAATGCAGTCCCATTATGCCAGGTTATAAACTTAGTACTGTCCCACTGTTCATCTTGGTAGTTAGTCTTCCCCGAATTCAGGTATAGTGTCATCCGGGGGTGAGATCATACTGCTCCGAGGATGCCACCAGTGCAGCATCAGGTGTTCATACAGCAGACTGCTGTTGTCAGCTCCAGACCACCGTTGCTACAGTGTTAGGGTTTACACTGTCTGGAGTTCTTACCTGAAAGTCCATTTTCTCTATTTCTACTATATGGGAATCAAGTACTGGAGATCGAGAGTCTTCAGTCAGCTTGGCTGGATACTGTGCATTCTGCAGACCAGGTGCTCCAAAGGCCTGGGCTTGCATCAGATTAATTGTGAGGACATTAAAGCTGCTCAGAGGACAAACAGCATTTTGCTGTGTGCTTGTTCCAACTTGGTCTCTGAGGATTTTGAATTGTTGGACACCTGCAAAGGAGAGGTCTTTTTTCCTGGTACAACTGTAATTGATTAACATGGTAAAACTTTATTTAATTTGTGTGTATTAGTAGTTACTTGAATTTTCTATACAGATAAATCAGCTTGTTATGGTGATACGGTTTTAACCACCTGTGGTAGCAACCATGCTCCTGATATTTTATATGAAAAGAGCATGACTTGGTTACCAACTTTCCAATTTTTTTAATTTTATTAAAATAGGCCAATTCTAACCACTACATACCAATGCATCTTGCATATATGGTTGTGCAAGGATTGCAGGTATGTATCCATTTTAATTTTCTTAATTTGGGAGTCACTGGTTTGCCATAGAAGGTGCTTAAATAATATTATTTCTCTTCTGACCATCACCTTAAAAGGTGATTGGCCAGTTGAGGCAATGGAAGTTATTCTAAAAGCCATTAAGATTGTGGGAATTAAAACTTTCTAATTTGCTATTGGGATTTACCAACTTTTAATTTAATAAATTGATCCTTTCCACAGTCCCTGAAAACTGTGGTTAATGAAGGATGGGGTCTGTTCTACCAGAGCCTTAACCACTTTTCTGCCACTGCTGTCTGAAAAAGAAATCCACTACTACTAGCAAAAACTATTGTTTGGATAGGAGATAGTGGCCCTACAAAAGTAATTTTGGCAGGTTAATTGGTTCCTTGCTGCCAAATTGTCTTAAAATATTTTTATTTTCCTTTTATAGGGCTTTAAATCAAGGACTAATTCTTTGACTTTTCTTAATTGAAAGAATTGGACAGGAGTGACAGGCTGACTCACAAATGTGTTTACATCACAACCTGTTTACATTATGCCCCCTTGCACTCCTTTTTGGCTAATAAATTACTTTTATTGTTTTGGATGTACAAAGGGTCCATTTACAAAGACCTTTTACCTTGCAAACAAAGAGGTTTGCTGGGTAAGAGGTGAAAACACTAATTTAAAATAAGTGTGCCATACTTGAGGGGTGAACCATTTTGAGGAGGTGAACCCTCAAACCCAGTACCCGTATATCTATAGCAACATAGCTGGCTACACACCTCAAACTCTGCTGCCAGAGTCATGGCCACTGCCATAGCTCTAAGGAGGTATTAATGACTTAGATCATTAGGCCTTGCTGTTGCAAAAATGTAATTTGTAAAATCAAAATGGCTGAGAATTTAAAAATTGAACAGTAACATATGGTGATCCTGGTGATATTCTGAACAAAAAGAGCTCTCAGCCACGCTTGTAGCTGTTTCCATTCTTTCACACTGACTCAACAGACAGTCTAGGCTTCAGGGTGACACATGGACAGGAGACTATCCTAGAATATTATTACATAGATACTTTTAGATTTAATTTGTATTTGATGTTTGATTTGATATCTTTAGAATGAAAATATTGAGACTAAGCAATCCTTAGTCATCTTTATAAAATGCTGGGATCTACATAAGTGCTGTATAAATACAAAGTGGTGATGGTTTTATATTAATTAAATACCTGAATCATTAACTTTGACTGTGTTTCAAGTTCATTCTGGATCCCAGAATGTAATGAGTTTTGTGATGTTGAAATGCCAGGTGAGGCTATTCTGGTTTATATAATTCACACACCTTGTTTGGCATGAATCATGAACCCCTGTCAAGCTTTAAGTCCAAGTTTCCCACATCTAAATCAGATCCTAGAGGGAAGGCATACGAAGGTGCTTCCAGCTCTTGATGATGTCATAGACTGGGTACTCTGAAGAAACTATTCACCATCTATTCTAGGGGGAAATTGAAGGATATCGTCTTCTAGCTCAGTCAATACTTCAGCCCTTTTTAAATACTGAGCTTTGGATATAAAAGCTAAACAGCCTTAGTTTATTCTTTAGGAAATCAACTTTACAAGAAAACTGGCAGCTTTAAATTACAGAACTTGGGGATTTCTTTCTTTCTTTTCTTTTTTCAGATGAGTAGAAAATAAAGTACTTCAGCAAATGCTTTTCTTGTTTGCTGGTTATATTACATCATTAGCTATTTGATTCTGTTTTTCAGGATGTTGGCTAAGGATGAGTTGGTGGCCATACTTCAAAAATGTGTGGAGATTTTTATATCGTCTTCTGGAAAACAGTTTAGCAACACGGTAGAAAAACTGGAGGAGTTCCTGGCACGATTTCAAAATCTGGAAAGTGAGCATGTAACCTATTGCCAAATTGTTTGGCATCAATAATCTGCTATAAAATGGCCTCAGAGAATCTACATTCTGATGAAATTCACGGGCCCTGCTGATGTCTCATGGTATTTTGAGATCAAACCCCCAAATTTCTCCAAATAAGAATATTAATGTGGCAAGTGTTTTTGACATGGAGTACATCTTTTCAAAAATGATTGACATGCAAAATAGGGATTGTCGATATTTGTATTACAGCTGACGGGGCCCATCATTTGTAAAATGGAAGTGTGGTGTGAGACAAGGAACTGGACAGATCAAAGGAGGTTGATGATAAATGACATCTGAGATATATATTTTCTTGAGGTTTTTCATCAAGTGCTTTACAACTTTCAAAAACATGTCATGAATAAGTCAAAACTTGAAAAATTAATAGTAGCAAACTCCTTTACACATACATTTGGGCTCATTACCATGCCAACTAATAAAAATGTGCAAATTAAGTCACAGTCAGATCCAAATAAGAGATGGATTGTTCTGGTCAGGGTGGCCTGATTGAAGTGGTAATGGCCAGTGGCAACCTGTAGAGTTCAGCAGTGCAGCCCAAGGGAAAAAGTGAAAGGTCCTGTATTAACAGCCTCTTTGTAACCACAGCATAGAGTATAGCCAATCTCAAGCATTCAAAAATCATGAGTGGCTTAAAAATTGAGATTTAAAAAAAATATTAATACATTTGGACTTTTTGTTTATTTTGTTTGTCTTTAGTTTCAGAGCCTTCAGTATGCTCTCTTCATGTTTTCAGGCTTTTGTCTGCAACTGTGAGGGCTAGAAGCTTACTTATTTATTTGTAAATTAAAGCTGACATTATCCCATAACAGTTGTCTTCAGGAAATTAGGTTTTAAGAAAGACTTCCAAGATCACAAGAGTAATGATAAAGTTGCAGGATTTGGCATCACTGAAAATAGGCAGCACATCTACAATCTTCCCTGTGCTCATTAATGTACCTCACCCTGATTTTGACAAACGACTTCTAGGGTGAGGGGGCAGTATAGTCTCCATGCTTATTGAATCTTTGGCCTTTGTTGATGCTGACAGAAAACTGTGATGATGGATTTTAAGATGTTGACACCTGTCCACTAAAATTGGACTCCAACTACCAACTCATTTCACGTAATCCACCAAACAGCTATCATACTTCACCACTGACCTGAGCCAGACTTAAACCTGTGACCTACAGGTGACAACCCCATAAGCAATGCAAGTAACCTAACAGTCTGTTGCTTTGCATATTATTAGTTGTTACTGTGATAGGAATTGTTTGTTTTAAAATTAATCACAATTGAAACTTAGCCCACCACCAGAGAATCAGGATGTTTTTTAAAGCAAAGTTGCTAATTATTGATGCAATTATTGATATACAAACTACAAGGTTCTGAAAGCAAAATTCAGGCATAAGTTAAAATTAAGATAAAACTGGTCAGTCAAATGCTTCAGTATATTCTATTTTTCACTTTGCTCTCACTTCAGTAAATCCAGGTTACGGAGTTTGGGAATGGCAGATGAGAATCTATTTTCTCTTTAAAAATTTTGCATGGGAAAAATGTAAATTTACAATGTGAGGAGTTTTAAAAGCTCATTAAGTGGCTGCTTCATTGAGATCATTGCCAATTTATACCTGTTGAGGATATGGTCCAGAAGTTTTAAGTGAAATGTAAGTGGTGCATAGGCCTTGTGCTGTCCCTCTGCACAGGGCTGACTTTCCTGTTTTTGAATAACTGTTCACAATATAAATTACACAGTGAAGTGTTGTTGACCTTTGTTTGCCAGGGGAAAAATTTAATAGCTAACTGGACTTCGGTCCTCATCTAACATGAAAGAGTACCATTGACCCTATCTCAATTTCGCCTGGGTCACCGAGTTTCTCTAGATATTAGAAAAAGTTTATGCCATGTGTTGAACACTGGTTTTGTTCCAGTAGCAGAAACCAATGAGGTACAAGATGTGTCTGTGTTGTCACAAAAGGAACTCCAGAAGAAGACAGACCTCTATCACCTTCAGAAGGTCAGGCCAGTTTTACTTTCTACAAACTAGTTTCAAGATTTATTTTTTTCAAGCTGTTAATTATTCCTGATTAGATCTGCCCTGCACACCCTAGCTATGAGCAAATCATGTTCTGTGAGTGACTTGAAAATTTAACATCCTGCCCAACCTAAATGTCAGATAAGAAGCCACCGGCTTGAAGAATTTCCATGACTCCTGCCTTTCTGACTAAGCATACTGGCCTTGATAAAAAAGCCTGCAGCACCGCAGTCCAATGCATATTTAACTTACATTGGCATGTGTTGACAGTCCTCCAGTAAGTAGATTTCCCCACACAAAGAATAAATCACTTTTATACACTTTTCTACTCCACCTCCTTCCCCTTCCCCTACCTATCAATCAATTCTGATCCTAACCCTCTACCTCTTTGTAGAGCTTCCTTGCAGATACTACTGTTGCCTTCCTTAACATGCAGAGAGCTTCAGCCTCCAGGTTTCTTCTCCTACATCTGGATTGTCTGCTCCCAGTTCTACCCCTTTCTTCTTAGAGGAGAAGCAGCTGGGGTTTCTCATTTCCTTCCACCCCAGTCTTAAAAAAAAGAATGGTAGCATCTGATTGGCTCTGCCCCCCCTTCCCCCCCGAGTAAAAGGGCAAGCAGCACTGCAAGGAAGGAGCCAGAAGCGCTCCAGCCTTACTCTGACTAAAATTTCTAGTTGCCCTAGGCAAGTTGGTTTTTCAAGCCTGGTAGCAGCCTATGAAAACAAGGGGTGTATGAAGTGCAATGTGTATGAATGTTTAGTTCAACATCTCTCTCCACCGTTATTTTGTTGTAGCTAAATTGACAGCAAGTGGTACATCAATACCTATTTCAGCACTAAAGATGCTTTCATTTATATTTTTAACTGCACATGTTGAGTCAGACTTCATTGCATCTAACAAATTCATGTAATAATGCCAGTTAGCATTTTGATAGCACCTTGCATCATGCATCTGAGAACTTTACAGACTTTTAATCTGCACATCCTCCCTGTGAGATAGGTTCATATTATTATCCCCATTTTGTGAATGTGGAAACTGAGGCCCTGGAAGGCTAAGTGACTTGTTCAAAGTCGCATAGCAAATCGGAAACAGAGCTGGGGCGAGAATCCAAATTCCCTGTGTCTCCGTCCCTGGCTCCGACCAAGAGAGAACTCTCCTTTTCCTTTTATAACACCATAATGTATGTTAATTTTAGGAATGGAGAAAAAGCAATCTGAAATTTTCTTGTCCTAGCCTCAGGACACTAATGTCAGGATTAGTGTTAGCTCTGTATTAGTAAAACAGACTCTCACAATGAAAACATTTATTTCCCTTCTTAAGCAGCCAGATACTTGTATACCTTTTGTAAGATAGCATACAAACAGGGAACACAGTATTGTCAGTCTAACTTTATTTCCGTTTAGATTAGTATGTGTTACCTAGGAGTGTCATGGCAATCATTTTTCATGTCTTGATTTCTAAAATGCAATAATCCTGTCAGCATCACTCTAGATAAATGGGTTTGCCATCCAAAATGACTGGGCTGTGCATTTTCTGTCTTTTATAGACTTTGCTGGAGTTGAAAGAATCAAAAAGATCTAAGAAACTAACTAAGTTTGAAATGCTCCGGTTCGAAGTGGTTGACTTTATAGACAGCCTGGTAAGGTGAGCTTTCCTGTTCTTTGGACCCTTTAATAGTTGATACAGTATCATAAGATACCATAGAAAAATATATACATGCACGCACACACAGAACAACAGTTTACCAAACAGTTCAGACTTGGGACAAACTGCTATCAGAATCACAGCTGTAGTCCTGCAATATGAGACACGTCCTCGCCACTCTTTTTATTTCCGTGAAATGTTGCTGTTGGGTGTCCTTGCAGCCATCTATGTCTGGATGAGGGCTCTGAAAATGCCTCTTTTCCATAGAATGCTGTAAAGAGTCTGAAACATACATTGCGCAACTCATTCCTGCTGCTGCAGAAGATGAAGAAAAATATGGCAGTTGACAATACAAGGTCAAAATGGCCCACACCATAATCAGTATTGGTCTATCCATTATTTCTTTTCTGCATTGTATAGGCTAGGGTTGTGATACCCATTTCTATTTTGGCTAATGCAAGGCATGGCAGATGGGCTCGTGGAGGCAGTTCCAAGTGTAAGCATCCACAAGGAAGAAAGTGTGGAGACAAGGGTTGGAGAAGGCTATGAAGGCAGCTGTTAGTTGTGCATCTTCAGTAGAGGGAAGGATCAAAAGTGTGGAGCAAATAGGGACTAGGGCAGAGAAATTGGCAGGAGCTAGATTGTGCAGAGCTACGTAGGCCAAGACAAGAAGCTTGAATTTGAAAACAAAGGTGAGAGCAAGCCTGTGAAGGGATTTAAAGATTGGATGGGTGGTGTAGGAGTAATGAGCAAGGCAGATGACTGGTGTCAACATTCTGGGTATTGCCTGCATTGTTGAATTTGCCCCGGATGTAGGTAGGATTTTAATTAAGAAATGTTTGAAGTGAGAAGCTGGGTTGATAATTCCTAAAATTCTCATTTTATTTGAAGTTGTTTCTAGGTACTGGGGGTATCTTATTTTTCAGAGGTTTTCTGCCCATGCCTGTTGTGAAATGCACATTCTTGCTATCTCTGTGAAAGCTTAGCTTTCAGTGTGGTTTCATAGTGTCCTTTCAGTTGAAGAGCTGTCTTTTTCATACATCCCATGTTGTTCTTTTAGAAGTTACCTTGCTCCTGCAGAGATGCAGACCCTGAACGAAGTGGTGTATTTCAACACAGCTAACACCCTCCGTGAGCACTTGAATGCTGCCCCACGGATTGCTCTTCACACAGCTCTGAACAACCCCTATTGCTACCTGAAAGTAAGAAATGGACAACAACTGTGTGACTTGTTCATAGTTCTGTGTGTAATTCGTGCATGGTCTGTGTGAGGCTAATGTGTGTATTTTAATGTTGCTATTTCATAACATTTGGCGCACAGTAGGGTCTGTCACAAGGAACAAGCAAGTGGCTCTTTATGAAGCAGCTGGGGAACTGGCTGAGAGCCAGAGAATCTGCCTGATTCAGGAAAAAGCTGATGCTGCTTCATTAAGAGTTTTGGACGGGAAGGCAGTTTCCAGAGCCTCATTTTTAACTGCCTTCTCTACAGAGATAAGCAGAAAGACTTTCTCACCTTCCACTTTGACTGGGTGACTGTGTCCCTGAAAAGAGAGTCCTCCAGTTACCAAACCTGGTCCCAGAGGCCCTGTTCACTTTACAAAAATAGTGTTTTGTCCTATGTCTTTGTAAACTCATGTAGATTGGCTGCCTGATGGAGCTGCTGGTCAGCTGAGCTGCTGAAATTAAGGACAGACTGGCTGTATACAAAAGTATCTAAAAGACTCCCTCCTTTTCATACCTATAACATAGTGATGCCCTGCCCCTTCTTGTTCCAGACCTTCAGAGATCCGCACACCACCTCCCCGTGAGCTCTTGAACGAAACTAGCCCCCCTGCACATAGTCAAAGCCACAGGGTGGCAGGGAAGGAGAAGGGGTGGGTGGGAGAGAGGCAGGAGTGGGCATTCTTTTCTCTTTCCCACTCTCATGCACAGTTCCCTGATGCCCATCCAAACCATCCCCGTGTCCCAGTTTTTTCTCTTTAAAAATATGGCCATTATGTGGAAAAATGAGATTATTGCCATTCATGGATGTTTGCATGCTTGCTGCCTGAGTCAAACCCAAACCAAACTGGATAAGTGTTTGAATTCTGTGATCCAGTCTGTGTTGGGTTTGTTTGTGTGCTTATTTATCTGACTCTTTACAATTTTATCTGGTTATAAAAACACAAAAGACTTAGATTAGGAGAGCCAGCTAAATCCAGTTTCTAATGTGCTTAATGAATATTCTCTTAATTAAATTTACAGAAATATATAAAAGACCTCTATCTTTACACATTTGTTCTTTGCATTTTTGATGCATTTCTTATGCTTGTTCGGTGTCTAACTCAGTGTCTAGTAGGAGTACTGGCTGTGGCAGTGTATTACTACTATTTTAATCTGTTTGAATTGAAGATATAATTTCCCCAACAGTGTCTATAAATTCTGCAGAGTTTGTACTTTCATGGGCTACAACCAGAGCAAAAGTTCTCTGATAAAGATCTAGCTATCCAGAGCTATTCCTACCAAAAAGGTGCAGGCAGGAAAGAATCTGCCACTGTAAGGTACCAGCAAGTGATTAATGATATGATGCCATTTCTCATGGGACTCTAACCCAGCTTTTACCTCAGCAAAATGTGAACTGGGTTGGTATTTAGCCTGACAGAAATGTGTACAAAAGAACTGTAATTCTTCTTCGAGTGCTTGCTCATGTCCATTCCATTGTAGGTGTAACCACATGCACTGGTGCCAGAAGTTTTTCCCCCAGTGGTATCTGTAGGGGACCGGCTCTGGCACCCTGTGACGTGGCACGCGTATGCACCGGTATAAGGGGTGAAGCCCGCTCCCCCCCAACCCTCAGTTCCTTCTTACTGCCAGTGATGGTGCTGAAATGTCTTCTTGCCTTGGCAAGCTTGCTCCTCTCAACTAGTTGTGAACTTTCTGTATATAGTTGTTATAAATTTGTTAGTTTTATAGTTCCCTTAGTGTTAGGGTTGCCAACCTTCCAGGATTGTCCTGGAGTATCCAGGAATTAAAGATTAATCTTTAATTAAAGATTGTCATCTGGTGAAACCTCCAGGAATACGTCCAACCAAAGTTGGCAACCCTACTTAGTGTAGACTTAGTTTTAGTCCTGAATGGGACTTAGCCTAGGGACGGGGCATGCCCAGTCCCCAGGCTTCAAACCTTGTGACTGTTGCAAGAAACCCATGCCAGTCAGCGATCCCCGTAGAAGCTGTTTGAATTGCTTAGGGGTAATCCACGTTAGCAACAAGAATCACACAAACATGAGACGAGTGTCTCACAAGCAAGAGCTTCAGATCGTGGACCAAAAAGGAGCAGGACATTCATCTCCGAGCACTCCTTATGGAGTCGGCCCTTACACCGGCCTCAGAGCGGACCAGGTCGGACTCCGCTCCTAGCATTGCGGCCTTGGTCCAGAGCATTCTGCCGGCACCGGCCTCAGACCAGCACCAATGCCCATCCCCAGTAACAGCTAAAAAGCAAAGAGAGGTCAGGAGGGGACATTCTTCTACGTCCCATAAAGGGGAGGAGAGCAAAGGCACGCGAGGGGCAGCTCTTCCCCTCTAGACAGAGGTCGGGCTCCGACTCCCACTGAGTGGTCAAGCCCACTCCAAGACTCACCTGCCACCCCGGGGAGCATCAGAGGCACATGGCACCTCGCGGTGCCATCCACACCGCCTCGGAGGTGCCTCATTTGAGGGATACACCTGCCTGGGACCTTTCCAATGGTCACCATGAGTCCCGTTAGCGCTCGCCTGAGCAGCACCACGAGCCCACAGACACGAGTTGGCTTGCCTGCCAGAGTTCCCGGCGTCGTTCCTTGGAAACCAAGCAGCATTCCTCAGGCTCGAGGCGGCGATCACCAGTGGGCTGGCGCAGAGGCGCGGCACCAGTCCCCAGAGCCCTGGTGCTGGGAGCACCCGAGCCACTCTCCCAGCTCATGGCACCGCTTTGGAGGGTCGAGACGCCTGTCCCCAAAGCCCCATCGCTGGAATGCCGGAACAGTTCACTGCAAGCGCATCAATGGTCTCTGACACATCGGTCTACCCGCTCCCATTCCTGCTCCTGCTCAACGGAACGGCATCGCTCGCGAAGCATAAGGCGTCGATCACCAGGGTACCATCGCCTATCAACCGAATGCTGTCACAGGATTGCAGCACCAAGTGCCATCGCCCTCATACAGATCCTCAGCGGCAGTCCAGGGCCAGAGCCGATGGGATCGAGGTAGACAGGCAGCCTCAGCACCGTCCTGGTCCCCCAGGCATGTATGCCCTTCCTCAGGCTCCAACAGCGAGGAGGAAATCCTGCTCACTGGCCAGGGCCACCCATTGGGGGCACCGGCATTCCCCACTGGGCCACAAGTGGCAACATGGCTTCAGGGCCAGTGGCCTGCCCCCTGGCAACTCTGGAATTCCTGGGGATTTCCCCAACCGTTGCAGGTGCATAGGTCAGCCTCAGGGGCATCTGACAAATGGTTGGCGACAGTCTCCCACCTGCCCCCTGACTCGGATGTGGAGTCAGGGTGGGCTCCCCAGGTTCAGCCAGCCTTGGCTGAGGCCCCCATGGCAGAAGTGGTGGAGTTGGTTGACCCGCCTGTACCTGCCTCCTCGTCTTCTTTGCATGATGAGGCGATGGTTGGGCCCTCGCACCTGGTTCCACAGGACCATGCCAAGGCTCACCAGGAGCCTATGCGCCCCACTCCAGAGGGCGCCAGAACCAGTCCCATACGGATACCACTGAGGGGGAAAAGCTTCCAGCATCGGTGTATTGGGCAAGCATACACACCTACAATGGAATGGACATGAGCAATACATCTTGAAGAACAGTTTCAAAAAGTTAACTGTCTTTTCTGTCCTGATGGATTGCTTGGAAACCCAGCTACTGGCAATTCAAAATATCACAGCTAGGAACTGCTTGGCCTTGTGTCAGTGTGATATGGATAATATGAGCCCAAAATATCCCTGGGGCTTAGAGAATCATGGAGGCATCATGTTTGATCTTGCAAGGAGGGTGAGTTTCACACCGAACTTGAGTAATAATTCCCATCCCACCAAGATGTTTGGAGCATTAAAAAACAAAAAATTCCATAAGCTCTCCTTTTTTGGAGGGAGGGATACTTTGACACAAGGCCCTTGATAAAGGGAATAAATAGAGATCCTGAAAAACTTATTTTTCCTCCATCTGCTCCCCTCAAAAACTAGCACAGCCAGGTTTTTAACTTGTTCCTGAGTATCTATTTATGCTCCTTACTTGGAAGCAGCACTAATTGCCAATTAAATGTAAAGTTGGTGTTTAAGGTCCTCCTTTTCATTAATGATTGCATTCTAGAACAACTTCCTGCTTATCAGTCTTAGTATGTAGTTATTTCCTGCCAGAGACAGATTATCTGCTGTTACCTCAGGAAGCTGAGGTTTCCATGAGCACTGCTGCAGCTCCCTCAGGGCATGCTATAAAGACCTGGCCATAAGATCATAAGCAAGCTGTCATTCTCCAAACTCAGGCATAGACCATGCATTGCTAATCAATAGTATTCTCCCTTGATTAGTTCCTTTTTTCCAATGTTCAGTCCAAATGCCCGCACTATAGAAGTTGGGCCTTGCCCTGTTTTACACAGCTGTTTGATTTCAAACCAAATCAAAGTGGTCTTACTGGTTGGTAAAATGGTAGCATAGGGAATGAATTGCATTATTTTCATGAATTGCTGGCTGGCTCACCAATGATACAGTACAATTTATCAATCTAGACATCAGCTGCATTAGTTAATAGACACACTATTTAGACTGAAACCATCTGTACTGAACTGTCAGGTAAATTGACATAATACCTAATCCCTTCAATTTCTGTCGTCTTTGCATAGTGTAATTGAATCTGAAAATCTGAATTTCTGAAAACTCTATAAGGGAACTTCCCATAGGCACTGGGATTGCTGAACCCAATCATGAAGCTAAAGCTCACAAACTGGAAGAATCAGTTGTAAAAGGCAAATTTAGAAATGTAATATACAGGAAATGAAAGTAATTCCTTGCCTGATCTTTTCCTCTGTATTGAAAAACCTTTGCTTATGGTGGTGTCCTTGTTCAGCATTTTTTAAACTTATTTTCTAACTGACCTATTATGCAACCAAATGTTGAAGTATGGGTTTTAGCCCCGTTATTAGCAGCTGATAGTAGCAGAATCAACGGTGTTGTTCACAGCGGGAGCT